ATTTAATATCAGTTTTTCGACTTGTAATTTCATAAATATCTATATTTGAAATTATGTCATTTTTGCAGTTAATAATATTGATTTTTAATTCCAAAAATGTTTACCTTAGTACAAAGTACTATACCCTCTACACAAAACTAAGTCTCATCAAGTTTAGTGAAGCATTATCCAGTTTAGAAGTAAGTTGTACTTGATGCCATGTACTTACGTCTGAATAAAAGAAGGAATGTAGCTAAATATCATAAAAATGAATCCAACTGATTCCCAATGCAACCTTACAATATGAAAGAATAGATATGGGATGGAGGATCCTCAGAAAAGCACTCTGCTCTCTCTCTTTCTTCCTTTCTATGTAGTCATCAGTTTTTCTGTTCATGTCTCTTATATCAGCCTATGCAAAAATAAACTGCATTTCTTTTACCAAATTGAGTGTTAACTATCAAGGACTACATCCTCTTTTCTGTTTCACAATCTTCATAACATACTTAAGCTTCCTCAACTTTTCCAAAAGTCAGTAATTATTTCTTTTGACCAAAGTTTCACTTTAAAGAGCAAACCACAGTTCACAGTCAACAAGAGAACTGTACTCAGAGGGCTCCAGAGCAGCCAAACCAGATACGTAAAAATGGGGACTCCTAAGTTATATAATAAAACTTCAGAAATCAATTTGACCTAGATACCAGATCTAGTCTACAAAACTCCAGACAACCAATAGATGGTAGCAAAGGAATTATATTTGCTATCCCATTGTTCCTGCACAGCATTACAGTTGTTGCCCTGAACCTCTTCTCTCTCTCTCTCTCTCTCTTTCTCTCTCTCTCTCTCTTTCTCTCTCTCTTTTGGATATTCAAAGAATCTGGGCAAAGAATCGGAATAAAAAGACTAAATACAAAGTTGTCAAATAACTTTTATGCAGGTCTATTCTCCATGGTTTAAAGCACCAAGGAAAAAATAGTCCTTATCACTTTTCCAAAAAGGAAAATTAGATTTGTGTAGCCACAATTTTCTGACCAAAGCATTTTCTCCCAAGTGGTAATATAATAAATCCTATATTTTAGTCCTCCACTATTTAAGCTCTTTCCTGTTCATCTGGCCTTCAACCATGACCTTACAACAGTTCCCCAAATCCCTTGTACCTGAAGTTTTCAAATATATGCACCAGGTTGACCACTGAGGATTCTGGAAGCTTCTGTTTCTCCTCCATCATTCTTATTCTTCTTTATGATCTCTTACTTGGAACTTTTCTGAGAAATAGCTGCATTAAGAAAACTAATAGGACTATATAACCAAATGAACAATCTACAAATTGTCTCTTTCTCTGGGAAACAAGAAAAGCTTCTTGTAAATTACATCCTATAAACAGGAAGCTTTTGAGGAAGTACTGAGGGCAAAACTGTAAGTGAAAGGATCAAAATGCAGAGCTTCACAAAATATAATTTGTCTTAATTATAATGCATTTAACTTTTCTATTCATATACTCTTGATTCAATGAAATGTGGTTCTGTTATATTATTAAGCTTCATTTATTTATTTGTCAAAATTATATAAAATCCAATGCTATCAGAAGAGACAGGAAAAAAAGAGCTTGCCTGGGGCAAACCATGTTACAGAATTAATTGTACTTGCCTAAATATTAAATAGGTTTTTATAGGGTTTTGTAGTTTATCTTTTAAATCCAGACACTGATTTGATATGAAAATTTAAATCTTTCAAACACTGAGGTGCATCATATGAGTATTTCAGGATATGTATATTGTTTGCATGATAACCTAAATAGACAATTCAGTAACTGTTGAATTGTCTACTAACAGAACCGCATGAGTACTTTTGACACAACAGATTTTCTTTTTAGAATGAAGCTACTCATAAGAAACACTAAAAAAATCTGGAATTAAAATTAGTGGTATGTCATAGGAATGTAGTACAAGGTATACTCTAATTCAGTGGTTCCCAAACTTTTTCAGTCCACTGACCCCTTGGTGCTACAAACTCATCCTTGGTGCCCCCGACCAAGGGGTGGGATTCAAATTTTTGAGGGTGTGGCCTAATTTGAGAGTGTGGCTTGCTGGTCACATGACTGGGTGGGCATGGCTTGCTGATCATGGGACTGGGTGGGTGTGGCTTGCTGGTCAAGTGACTGGCTGGCATGGCTTGCTGGCTGGGTGTGGCTTGGTGGTCACATGACCGGGTAGGTGTAGTTTGGTGGTCATGTGACTGGGTGGGCATGGCCAGGTGACTGGCAAACCAAATACAAGTGGTCCTCACTTAATGACCGGTTGTTTAGCAAGTGTTCTAATTTATGACTGGCCTCACAGCTCACACAGTAAACAATGTACACCCATCCTAACAATATTTCAAACAAGAATCTTAAATTGGGAAGCAATGGGAAGGTGTCAAAAAATATCTAGGTCTCTATATTGTTAAACACAATCACTTTTCACAGATGTCCTTCCAGGAATCAATCTAGGGTGTCTAGGTCAAAGATTAACATTTTGACATACTGTCTTAATACTTTAAAACATTAATTCTTACCATTTTTTTTGCTCTCAAGACCCCTTCCCACTTTTAAAAATTATGGAAGACCCTAAAAGAGCTTGTGTCTGTATATTAAAAATGTATTAAAAAGTAAACTGATGTATTGGTAGAATATTTATTTATTGAATTATATAAAAGTAACACTATTAAACCCACTAGCTACTCACATAAGTATTTTTATGAAAAAAACTAATATTTTTTAACAAAAAGGAGAAAAGTTTTGTTTATTTATTTGCGGATGCCTTTAATATCTGACAAATAATTTTGATTTTGCATATCTGAGAAGGTTTTGAAGGAGCCTCAGCTGTTCTCGGACATTTTAAGAAACTAAAAGAAAGGGTCCAGGTAATCCTCACAATCGAGGCCAAAATTTCTATTGCTAAGTAGGAAATTTAAGTGAGTTTTGCCCCATTTTACAACTTTACTTGCCACATTTGTTAAATGAACCACTGCAGTTAAATTAGCAACAACTGTTGTTAAGTGAATTGGGCTTTCCCATTGACTTTGCTTGTCAGGTAACAAAAGTTGATCACATGGACACTGCAACTGTCATAAATATGAATCAGTTGTCAAGCATCCGAATATAAATCACATGACCATGGGGATGCTGCAAAGGTCATAAGTGTGAAAAATAAGGCATAAGTCACTTTTTTCATTGCCCTTGTAACTTCGAATGGTCATCAAATGAAGTGTTTTAAGTCGAGGACTACCTGTACTTGAGAGAAATAAATGGGTTTTGCTGCTAGTCTTTTCTTCTCGAGTCATAATGGTCTCAACTAACATCTCCTACAAAAACTCAACTATGCCACCCAGAGAAATGAAGTATCAACAAAGGATAATATTTGTAGCTCAGGGTTGAAATGAAGGGTCCTTGGTGCTCTCTGAGTTTGCTTGTTTTCTTGCAGACGCTTTCTTACACAAACTAGGTAACATCAGTGCTAGATGATGTAACCTAGTTAGGGTAATGAAACGTTTGCAAGAAAACAAGCAAACTCAGAGGGCATCAAGGAACCCTCCGACAAATGTAGAGAAAGGGCGGGTTCAAATTTAGCTGAGTTATTCGAAAGACCGCCAGGCGGCTAAAGTTTCAGAGATTTGTTGTCAGGCGGCGAAACAGGACCGCAGCGAAGAACTTCAGTTCAAGTGTTCAGAGCCAATGGAAACAGCAGGGCGAAACGCATTCAGACGTCCCACTGATCGCTTCGAACCATTATCCAGGCAAGAAATGGCTTCCTCCTCGGCTTCTTCTTTATAACGGATCAGTGTGTTTTATGCCTCCTCGCTGCAATGGAAGCGGGCTCTCTCTCTCCAGCCAGTCCTAACCGCGATCAGCTTCCGAGATCAGCCAGTGCCGGGCTTGTGCGAAATGGGGGACGAGGTCAAGTCGCGAGACTGGATTTTGTCAGAACCGAAGCGGAAAGTCTATGGAGATTCTCAGTCATCCAGATCAGGGTTCTCCAACCTTGGCAACTTTAAGCCTGGCGGACTTTAACTCCCAGAATTCCCCAGCCAACTTTGATGGCTGTGGAATTCTGGGAGTTGAAGTCCGCCAGGCTTAAAGTTGCCAAGGTTGGAGAACCCGATCCAAAACTTGGTTGTCCCAAAGGTGCTTTATCAGGAGGCAACTGGACTTTCTTGTTTTTTTTCTTTGAAGACATTTCACTTTTAATCCAAGAAGTGGCTTCAACGACTCTCTAAAATAATACAAATGACCAGCTGCCTGCAAGGAATAGAAATCCTTCCACTCTCCACCATGCAGTCAGAGCCGAGGAAGCTTCTAGGATGAGAAGCGAAACGTCTTCAAAGAAAAAAAACACCAAGTCCAGTTGTCTTCTGGGGAAAAAAAAAAGCACCTATGGAACAATCGCAGGGGAATTTTTGCACGGGGGACTGGGGGCGCCACGCCAATCATTCGGCGTTGCTATGTGGCTTCGGTTTGCACCAGGAGGGCATGAAAAAAAATCACTTTCATGCAAAAATAAAATAATATAAATGCTCGCCGAGGCCAAATACGAGTCAAATGCATCAGAAGATACGAATTCCTCTCTTTGATGCTGCCCTCAGAGGACAGACGCGCGAAAATGGAGATACTGCAGGGATTTTTTTCCCCCTCCTTTTTGCTATGGAGAAATCCGCCCAGGGGGCGGGGTCTGTGAGGAAGGATAAAATGAGATTACGCTTCCTTGTCAGTTGAGTAAATATAGCAGAAAGATCCCATAGTCGCCCTCGCTCCTGCGAGATCAGCGACACGATCTTTCCCTTGTCCCGTCAATAGGAGGGAAACGCGTTAGTTGTACCCTCGTTTCGTGTTCCGATTTGCCAGGCGCCTTTCTACCTGTATTTTTGTCTCTATGTGGGAGGCGGGCTAAGCCAACTGCTCCTTGCCATAGGGCCTTTGCTTCGAGGGACGCGATGACGCGAAAGGGTCTGGTCATGTGAACGCGGGAGAGCGCTTCCTGGTTGGATGCGGGCGGGGGTGGGGGGGGGAGATGGCTGACATTCCTGTGGGTCCTGGGATTACTCCTGCCGTCGGACCGAGAATGGGACCCGGTCCGGCAGAAGGCGCGGACGCTCTTTTCGTCGCCCTGAGCGCTGGTTTCACGGTCCTCAGCCACCCGCTGCTCTACGTGAAGCTTCTGGTGCAGGTGCGGCTTGGGGACCAATCCTCCAATGCAGGTTTCGGAGGGAAGGAGATGTCTTGCTCGGGGTGTGGGGACCTGTGGATTTGCAGCCTTGATAGGTGAGGGGCGACCGTTGAGGTCCGAGACGCCTCACGAAGGCAGTTCTTGATGGGTGTCCCTTTTTCAGGAGGCAATTGGACTTGCTTGGTTTTTTGCTTTGAAGACGTTTTGCTTCTCATCCAAGAAGCTTCTTCAGCTCTGACAGAATGGGGGAGAATGGAAGGGTTTCCCATTCCTTGCAGACAGCTGGTCATTTGCATCCTTTTAGAGGGTCCTTCAAGCACCTGGAGGTTTATCTGTGTCCTCAGAGTAACCTGGGTAGTGTTCCTGGTTCCTGCAATCTGCCATTTTTCTTCTGGAAATCCATTCCTACTCCCACACCATTCAAAGACTTCTTAATGGGTGCTTAGCTTTTTGCTCCTCGGGTCTGTGGGTGATCCATTATGAAGGGCTGGCTTTGCGAAAACGGTGCCGATTTCCCTACAGCTCCTCTTTGGTGCATATACCATAAAGGAATTTGGCTCCTTCGACTAGTTGCTTCCAAAAAGTCTTTTTTAAAAAGATGAGAGGATTAATAGATTAATAGATCCTAACAGATTTGTTACTGAAATTTGGGGTGGGAGGGTGGAAGATGTGAAGTAGTTTGCCATGGCTTTCTTCTGATGTTTTATTGCCACTTTCACCTCCAGAGCCCTAAGATTTACTGCTGGCTTTCCTTCCCAGCAGTATGATCCTTTTGCTTTTGATTAAGTGCTTCCAATAACAATGAGATAACAGCAATAGGCATCCCTGCCTTTGGAACCTCAGAGATTATTTTCTACTGTTGAGTCTTCTCAAGCATATTTAATAACGTGTTTTGGTTCAGAAAAATTTAATTCAATGCAAAGGAGAGAACTAGAATGTGTTTTCCCAAAGTGTCTAGACTTCAGTATACCACTTGGCACAAAAAATAACCCACAAAAGAAGTACGAGTGTTTTGGGTCTATAAATAAAGTGTGTGCATACATGCATGCACATCAGGCTAGAAACTTGGAGACCATGAGTTCTATCCCTGCCTTAGACATATGAATTTAACTGGATGACTTTGGGTCAGTCACTCTCTCAGCCCTGGGAAGATGGCCATGGTAAACCACTTCTGAAAACCTTGCAAGAAAAGTACAGGGATTATTAGTTCACACAGTCACTAGGAGTCAACAGTGGTTGAAATTTTAAAAAATGAAGCAAATAGAGTAGGGGTTGAGAGCAACAAGGAGTGGCCCCTATCTGAGCTCTAAAGCTATGGATAAAGTTCACTGGGATGGAGATATTTGCAAGAAACTGGTGTTACTTTTTCCATGTATTTTTTTTAGGTTGGGCATGAACCTCTACCTCCAACTGTTGGGAGAAATTTACTGGGGAGGAAAGTATTATACCTTCCTGGATTTTTTACGTATGGTAAGCATGACCTGATTAAATTTGCCTATAGGTCTAATGAAAATAATGTAACCAACTCAGATAATGAATAAAAATATTAATGCAATGCTAACTCAGATGTTTTCCTTTTCAACAAACATGATTGTTGAGTATACTTTTCTATAGTTCTATGTATCCACTGAATTAAATCAAACTTGCTTTTAATAGGAATCAGATTTTGTTGTTATTGTTCAGATGTATAACAATATAATCTGAAACATTTTATTCTTCTTGATTTAGAAGAATTTATGCTTAGAGCAAAACTCACAATTAGATCCTTAATATGTAAAAAAAATCTAGTGATAAATAAGCCATAAAAATTTTGTATTTCTATTTAGCTTTTTTTTTCTTTTTGAGTAGGCAAACAAATTTAAACGGGCATTTTTTAATCATAAAGAAAAATTTCCTTCTTTAAAAGTCATTTTCTATAAAAAGATTTTGTTTCCATAATAATTGCGGTAGTTGAGGATTCAGCTAACTTCTTTTTGTCATATTAACTTATCTGGGAGAAAAGTTATTAGCATTTACTGATTGATATTGATTAGCAATCTATTTTGGAAGAGATGTGATCTCAGTTAAAAATGGAGGGACACATTTATGACAAGTACATAACAGAAAATACACAAATACAGTATAATTTGCTTTAGGAAAAAAACCCAATGATTTGCATTTATTAGTATTTGCTGTTGATATACAGTATAAAACTTTATTCAGTTAATATAGCTTATATTTAGGATTCTTTGGTAATACTGTTTTTTGCTTGCTGATTACATGATTGAACTCTTAATACTATTTTATAATCATTTTGTAAGCTTGTTCTAATGAAACAGTTTCTCCTACAAACATATTTAGAGAACAAAATTTACTTTCAAGTTAGCTAAATATAGAGTCAGTTTTACCAGCATAGTAGTAAGCTATTGCAGCATTATAACATATTAGCTATCTGAAGTTTATAGTACCTTAAACTTTATAAAATTCCTTCCAAAATTTTTGCAAATTATTTACATAATAATCTAAAGCCTTTTGGTTGGAAGGAGATAACATAGCTGAGCACAAGTTAAAGGAATGTTCATACTCTCCCCTAACACTATAAAATCCAATGTAATTCTTAAGATCACAGTTGAAATAGTTGAAAATGCAAGGTTTTCTCACAGCTTTTACCATCTTAATGTCAGTGGATAGTTTAAATCCTAACGTGCATTATCATATATAGATACCCAGTCAACTGAATCATGGTGAAGTAACTTCAGTGTAATTTATTTGTAGCCAGGCACATTGTGGAAGTAGATGGGAAAATGGGTCTTTTCCGTGGTCTTTCTCCTCGTATCATCTCTAGCGTTTTATCTACCATAAACCGAGAACAAGTGAAGAAGGTACAGTATGTCACATATTTGTTCTCTAATCTCTTTGTGTTAAAAAGGCTACTTGTGAAGCCAAATTGTGTAATAAATGTCTAGGCCAACACTTTCTCACAGTTGAAATCTCAGCTTCTGCATTTGCCTAGTTGGACTTTGGAAGGGATTCAAATTCAAAACAGCAACAGCAATAGCAACAATAGCAACAACTCTTGTTGTACAATAAAGCTGCTTCTTCCAACCAGTAATAGTGAAATATTTTTTAGAACCTGAGGTGTTGAACTTGAAAAGCAATGGTAGTAGCTGACCTCATAGAGGAACCTAAAGCATATTGGATTCTTTTTAATGGTGTGAACTATTTCCGGAGTTCTCAGAATTTTATGCCACAGTTGCATACTGATAGCCTTCCTGAACTATATTTCTTATTAAGGTACCATCAAGTTGCTTTAGGACTATCTGAAAGTCTTTACCCTTGTGAGAATAATAAAGTGCTGGTCCTTTCTTAGTAACATTTTATTTCCTGTGAAGGCCTGTTAGTTTGTCAATCCTTGGCCTGTCTTTGACAGTGGGACTGCTAATTTCACTTTTCTACTATTTAATGATACATCCTCATTAAGAATGGAAGATGGGTTGGTCTGTCTCTTGCCAAGACAAGTTGGCCACCATCCATGCCTGCTTGCAAAGCTCCAAAACCTCAGCACTGTCTCATTCAACTATGTAGATTATTGTTTCCCTCCATTGTGCCCAATGCTTAGAAGAGCAATTCTTTCATATTTCTTCAACCAAAGTGTAGGCTTGCCCATGCTGTGGTTCAAAAGCACCAGCATGCTTTTGAGCTGAACATTTTCAGAAATCTGTGTTTCCATTACTATGTTAATGCAGCAGTGCCATGACTCAAAAGAAGGAAAGCTGGAGCGGGGAGGGGGTTGGAAGAGAAAGCAAAGTTGAATGATTCTTTGGGTTAAAGTCCTCACTCCATACTCCAGGTAGTCCTTGACTTACAACTGGTCATTTAACAAAAGTTTGAAAGTACAGTGGCCTCAGAAAGGGTGCTTGGTGGGGAGAAGAAATCTTGTGTTGGGCTGCAGAAATGAACCTTAGATTTTGGGGATCTATTTTTTTTTCCTGCAGTTCACACCCTAGTTTTCTTCTTTACATGGGGGGGGGGGGGGGAAATACTGCAATGGTCTACAGAAATGAAGCTTCAATCCTGAAGAACCCCCTTTGGCAGGAAACTCTTTCAGTCTGTCTGCTTAACAACCAGTGTGACTGCTTAACAACTGCATCTGGGAGAGCCAGGATTGTGGTCATTGAACAAAGTGGTCATATAGGCACCTCGCTTAATAACTGCTTCACTCAGTGTGAGATTCCAGTCCCAATTGCCATAAGTTGATGACTTTCTGTATATTGGATTATCACATTAGTCCAAGTACAGGTTACAACAAAACAATGAATGTATAGTAAAATGATTATTTTACTATACAATGAATACAATGAATATATAGTAAAATAATCGCCCCATGCACACTCCAATTTCTTAGAGGAGAAGTAAAGTACAGATATAATAACCTCTCTTCTATTCAAATCTTGGGAGTATCATTGTTAGAAAAATCTCATATGTCAAATACTATTTGTTTATCATAATCAGGTCTCCTGAGTTTACTTTCTCTGTTATACCTCAGGCCTTCCCTCTAGAAGATATGGAGCATGTTTCCAATAAGGATGATATGAAGACATCTCTCAGGAAAGTGACAAAAGAGGTGGAACTTTAAAGCAAATTTTCATTGCTCAAATATGTTATATTTGGAAAGACTATATATTTCAAAGAATAATTATGATTGACATGAATGTTGAATCCTCAAATCTTTTCTTTTCCAGTGTGATTAAGCCCAATTTGAAAAAATGTCTCAGAGCCTTGTGAGGTGGGAAAGACTATATAAATAGTATAAATTTAAGGATGCTAAGATTTCTCCTGCTAATCTATTCTAATGCTAAATACTAAAATTGTTAACATGGTTTCCTCTGATTATTTTTAATACATACAATCTTGGGGCTACTAAAAGTGGGGCCAATCTTTTAGTGTTCAGGAAGTTTAAAAATGAACTAACACTTTCAAAAATTCCTGTAGTACACTGAGTAAAACTGAAGTATCTCTCAAACTTATATAGCTTGATTTATTTTTTCTCTTTCAACTTACCTCACCACGTGTTTGCTGCATGGGTACTTTGGGGTTCTCTTTATCATCTTTGCTGCCTCTTTTTACAGGTAGTCCTGAAGTTATGATCACTCCTTAAATGACTGTTCAAAATTATGGGGCTGAATAAATAGTACTTACGCTCAGTCCTCAAAGTTACCACCATTGCAATGCTACTCTTAGCGTACGATCAAAATTCAGGCACTTGGCAGCACATTTGCACTTACCACTATATGGATGATACAACTCCCACCCCTGCCCCTTTCTTATGTGCCCTTTTGGCCCCCTGTACTTAGCAACCCCAGCCATCCTGTGTTCCACTGCCCAGCTGATCTCTGTCTTGCTACTCCTGCTGCTAACCCAAGCACTCCCAACCTTACCCTTTTGCTTGACAGCTGCTGGTTGCATGAGACTTTCTTCCCAAGATCCTGTGCAGCCGTTTCTTTGTGTGAAACCTGGAGAAGAAGGGCTCACATGACCATTACTTGCCTCACAAAAGGCTAGGCCAAGCAGACTGCATTGGCAGTGAAAACAAAACAATAGCAAAGGACACCTGGGTGGGGGAGTGCAGAGCAGCAGAGGCCTTGCAGTAAGCCAAGGCCTGCTAGGATTGGGCTGGGATTTTCTGGGGCGGCTGGGGCTTTGGTTGCATTTCTGAACCAGGCTGGGGCAGCTCTGGCTTCCTGGGCAGCTATAGCTTTGCACTTACTGCTGGCCCGAGCTGGGGCAGCTGCAGCTTTGCACCGCTTTACAGTTCAGAGGCTTCTTGCAGCCCTAGAGCCATGGTGTGCCAAGAAGCTCCTGAGCTGTGCAGTTCTGGGACTATTTTCCATCCCAGGAGACAGGGTGCAGGGTGGCCAAAAAGGCTTAATGGACAGTTGAAGGGAGTAGAAAGGTATGCAGTTTCTTACCAGGGGCTCAGAGCTGAGAGAGATCAAGCCAGGAATGGCTTGGATTGGGATGGGCCCTCCGCTTACGATTGGTGGAATTTGGTTAATGACTGCAAAAGAGAAGTGCTGGGATTGTGGTTACAAAGCAATGGCACTAAGTATCACATGAGGTCAAGCTTTATGACCATATTGCTTAGCAACGTAAATTCTGGTCCTGGTTACCATCGTAACTCAAGGACTACCTGTATCTGAATAATATACAGTATGTGATAGTCCTATAGATCTATAGTGTAAAACAGAATGACTTAGAATAGCATAGAAACTATATTACTATGTTCCGTGTAATCCAGCAAATACTTTTTTTTCAAATAAGGAAACTAAGATATTTAACAAATTTCCCATTATGGTGTACTGATTGTGAGATGATTTGCTTAAGATAAAAAAAGTGCTCTATTTTTATATTTTATCAGACTTGCCATGAGATGATGATGCAATGTGTATCCCGAATTATTTCTCACCCACTTCATGGTGAGCTATGGAATCTGCTCTTGTCAAGTCCCATATCCACTTAAACATTCATTTTGTGGTGTTTTTTCCTATAAAATTATAAAATTCATAATTTAAATTTATTTTATTTACACAAGTATCTGCACATTATGTCACTTTACTATGACCAATTTGCAGTTGATTCTGAGTAGTTATTTGTCAGGGATAGTGATGTGCAAAATGTTTCAACCTGAAACGTACTGATTTGGACTAAATGATTTGGACTTGAAATGAATTTAGCCTACCTCTACTTTTCATTCAAAATGATCTATTTTGAGGTGGGATCATTTCTGATGAAGTCAAAATGAGGTGTTTCAGCAACAGAATCTTTTGCTCTGAGAAGACTTTGCACACCTTTGGTTATATTATCCATATATTACCATATTTACCTAATAAGACACCCACCCCACCATACTAATCAACTGAGTAGAACTATTGAAAACAAAGGAATTGGCAGGACATACAAATAACTAGATGTTTCTTTCGAAAAGTGTATATGCCTTGAAAATTAGTCTGAAGATTAGTCCGAGCTTTCAAAAAGATCTTTTTTGCCTGATATATTTATTTTTAAAACTTTGCCTTCTCTTCTTTCTTTCTCTGTCCACTTAACTTCCACCTTCCTGGTGCTATTCCCCTTCCCTTCTTGTTCATATCCCTCCTGTTTTTCTGTTTTTACTGGAAGTAAGGAGGTGTGTAAGTTTGTAGGTGTGTGTTTCTGAAAGGAGTTTGAGTGTATAATAGTTGTATATGCAGGTGGGAAACATACTGATTTTATAATTGGATGTCTTGCATTATGGACAATACTATAATAAGTTATTAAAATTTGTTGCTTTGGGCCCTGGCCTATATTGGAGTGTGGTTCCTATCAGGATTATATACAAGTATACAAGTATGTGCACAAAAGTGTTTTATTGGCACACATTTACTGAGGAGGCATTTTCAGACTGGGTTCATCTGGAATTGACAATTCTAGATTGGCAAGATGAAAAAGTTAGGCATTTCCCAGGATGTTTGTCTGTTGGTATATATTTTGTTCCTATCTACTTTTCCTGTGGTAAAATGTCCTTAAATTCAGAGTCATCTTCATATCTATAAATATCATACTTTTAATATCAAAAGAAGTAAGGCTCTGAATTCCAGGTCACTGGGAATACAAGACATTGATACTACTTTTGCAGATAATTGTTTTAGGTTTCCAATAGCCATCTGATCCATCACTGTGGGAATCCTGTGAATTCTAAATTCCAGTGGCCTGTAGAATGTTTCAGTTGAAACTCCTTTTGGTATTATGAGTCAGTCAATGTTGAGATATTTTCTCAGTATAAAAATACGTAAGTGAACTACTTCTATATTCATATCTCTTGTTTTTTCTTCTGAAGTAATATCTATGCGCTGTATGGTCCAGTTCGTAGGACGAGAAGTTAAGTACAGGTGAGATCTTAACATTCTATAACTCAATCTCAGAATAATAACAAAGGGTTTTATAGTATTGCACTGGGCAGTAGTAATAAAAATATTTTATCAATATATCAATAATTATTTCTAAGAAATATAGATGTTTCTTTTCCTATTATTGAACAACAATGGCAGCAATGTGATAATATACTTTAGGCTGAAGAGATGTGAGAGAGCACTTTGGCCCAGGTCTAATGGTTTTCCTTTGTCAACAGCAATATATTTAGTTCAGTCAAGACAATTTGGAAAGAAGAAGGACTCTTGGGATTCTTTGTGTAAGTAAGTCTATCCCAATTGCCAGCAAATTGAATTAAGCCTGAACTTGATGTGTTATTGAAGATCAATTCTCATACCACTGAGAAGAATCAGCTCTTGTTCAGAACAATCAGCTTTCCTTAAGTTATAATTCAGTTCAAAGGTCAGAATTATTTATTGAAAGTGTATTACATGTGCTAATGCCTTCTGGCATTATATACAGGTGAAACTCGAAAAATTAGAATATTGTGCAAAAGTTCATTTATTTCAGTAATGCAACTTAAAAGGTGAACCTAATATATGAGATAGACTCATTACATGCAAAGCAAGATAGTTCAAGTCGTGATTTGTCATAATTGTGATGATTATGGCTTACAGCTCATGAAAACCCCAAATCCACAATCTCAGAAAATTAGAATATTGTGAAAAGGTTCAATATTCTAGGCTCAAAGTGTCCCACTCTAATCAGCTAATTAAGCCATAACACCTGCAAAGGGTTCCTGAGCCTTTAAATGATCTCTCAGTCAGGTTCAGTAGGAATCACAATCATGGGAAAGACTGCTGACCTGACAGTTGTGCAGAAAACCATCATTGACACCTTCCATAAGGAGGGAAAGCCTCAAAAGGTAATTGCAAAAGAAGTTGGATGTTCCCAATGTGCTGTATCAAAGCACATTAAAAGAAAGTTATGTGGAAGGGAAAAGTGTGGAAGAAAAAGGGGCACAAGCAGCAGAGATGATTGCAGTCTGGAGAGGATTGTCAGGAAAAAGCCATTCAAAAGTGTTGGGGACTTTTACAAGGAGTGGACTGAAGCTAGAGTCAGTGCATCAAGAGCCACCACACACAGACGGATCCTGGACATGGGCTTCAAATGTCGTATTCCAGTTGTCAAGCCGCTCCTGAACAATAAACAACGTCAGAAGCGTCTTATCTGGGCTAAAGAAAAACAGACCTGGTCTGTTGCTCAGTGGTCCAAAGTCCTCTTTTCTGATGAGAGCAACTTTTGCATCTCATTTGGAAACCAAGGACCCAGAGTCTGGAGGAAGAATGGAGAGGCACACACTGCAAGATGCTTGAAGTCCAGTGTGAAGTTTCCACAGTCTGTGTTGATTTGGGGAGCCATGTCATCTGCTGGTGTTGGTCCACTGTGCTTCATTAAGTCCAGGGTCAACGCAGCCATCTACCAGGAGATTTTGGAGCACTTCATGCTTCCTTCACAGACGAGATTTATGGGTGATGCTGACTTCATTTCCCAGCAGGACTTGGTACCTGCCCACATTGCCAAAAGCACCAAAACCTGGTTCAATGACCGTGGGATTACTGTGCTTCATTGGCCAGCAAACTCGCCTGACCCCCATAGAGAATCTATGGGGCATTGCCAACAGAAATATGAGAGACATGAGACCGAACAATGCAGAAGAGCTGAAGGCCGCTATTGAAGCATCCTGGTCTTCCATAACACCTCAGCAGTGCTACAGGCTGATAGCTTCCATGCCACACCGCATTGAGGCAGTAATTGCTGCAAAAGGGGCCCCAACCAAGTACTGAGTACATATGCATGCTTATACTTTTCAGAGGTCCAATATTGTTCTATGTACAATCCTTGTTTTATTGATTGCATGTTATATTCTAATTTTCTGAGATTGTGGATTTGGGGTTTTCATGAGCTGTAAGCCACATCATCACAATTATGACAAATTACGACTTGAACTATCTTGCTTTGCATGTAATGAGTCTATCTCATACATTAGTTTCACCTTTTAAGTTACATTACTGAAATAAATGAACTTTTACACGATATTCTATTTTTCTGAGTTTCACCTGTAAAAGAGAGAAAGATAATACTTGACAATTTACTGTCTCTTTTAGTCAGACACAATTTCACACACAAATAACAATCTCTCATAAAATAGTTGGACTTTCTCCTTCATAAAGTTCCTAGATATATTTTTGAAGAATTGCAAGACCTGTTCAAGCACAGTGATTCAAACTAGGAAATTATTAATCTGTTTCTGCACTTACATTTTAATCAGTGCTAAATTTAACTTAAGTTTTTTTTTACTTAAGGATATATAGAATAAATCAGTAAAGTTTTTTTGAATTAGAAAATAGACATCACTGTATTAAATTAGGAATATGATCAATCTATACATTTCCTGGTCACCTGTTAAGATTTGCATCTCGTATGATTGACTTTTCTTAAGATTCTCAATAAAATCTTAAGAGATTCTACTTTAAATTTTCTGAATGGTCCAAATCCTTTCTCTAACAGCCAAAAAATGGTAAAATATTGCATGGATAAAATGAACTGAGAGATCCAGGTTGTTGCTCTCTCTCTCTCAGTCCTTGGAAAGAAGCAATGCAAATCACTTCCAGAATCTTGCAAACAGAAATGAACAACTTAGTTTGGACTGAGAGACTTTTAAATGGCACACTGGTGGCCTTCCTCCAAAACTCAAATGAAACCAGAGCAAAACAGTATATAGAACCAAGACAAATATTAGATATTTAATTTGTAAGGAATTACAATATTAAAGGACTTGCTATTGCTCACTTACTTAATAATTCCCCTTCTGTTCATTTCCTATCACATTATCACTGTTGGAAAATCTTTTGAAAGGATGTAAACATTCAGGAACATGGCCATTTTTTCTGCAAACAATTTGCATGCCTGAAACCTAACTTCCAGGAATTTTTTTCCGGAAAGAGAAATGAAAGGCATAAAGAAGATAGTATTCTATCTCATGGCGAGTGAGTTTTTACATTGACAGAATACAACATGAAAAAGGGGTCTTTTCATCCACCATATCCTTCCTGGAACAGAGTAGCCAACAAAGTGGTAACATCTAAAGCAGATGTACTAGTATTAGCAGTTAATTAGAAAATAGGGTAGGCTGTAGCAAGAATATAGCTTTCAATCAGTATGGACCCTTGGATGGTTGAGTTAGTAAAATCTTTCTGTTTCAGTTAAACATTGGCACATGCATAATTAGTGACTGTATTATCCTATGGATATAGATACAATACTAAATGACTCATCATCACTTTTTGCATGCTCAAAATTATTTACTATTGCTGAATTAATTAATTAATTCATATTTATGATTAGTTTTCTAAGGCATATTGCTGTGTATCGGATTTTTTTGTTTTCTGTGCATTAACATTTGGCCTAGGGTTCATTCTTTCTTTTCTTTCCTCAATGTGCATTAGAACATTGATGAAGTTCTAAGATCTTGTATCTTTCATTTTCTTACTACATGCCTTTGGACTTGATTTAGTCTCTAAGCTCCAAACAATCTCTCTAGGTATTTGTATTCCAAATACAAATTTCATATGTATAGTCTTTACGTACTTTACTATTATTATTTTCTAAACTGTATGAGGTTAATTTAAGAGTATTGTTATTTAATATTTTCTCTTTTCTTTTCCCTCAGAGGTTTAGTTCCTCATGTCCTAGGTGATCTTATTTTTCTGTGGTGTTGCAACCTTCTGGCTCATTTTATCAACACTTACGCTGTGGATGACAATGTGAGTGATAAGTAATTTTATTGTACTCTAAAATTTCTTCCCCAAAGATCCATTGCGGTGTAGTGGGCTGCTCCCAGCTAAGGGGCACATTCATACCTCAGCCATGAAAATTCATTTTGAACCAGTTGTACATCCTCAGTCCAATCCACCTCATATGTGTCGTGGTTGAGAGGATAAATTTACATCCTCAGATAGGCTTCCGTGCAAGCCTGGGAGAAAGGGATATAAATCTAACAAATAATTCATCATGATGTCAAGCAAGAAAGTGGATTGAAAGAAACCAGAATTTCACAAGTTTAAGTATTATTGTACAACAATTATTTTGTTCTGGCCAATTTTTCTTTTTGTTTGTTTTATGCTGGCAGTTTTCCCATATTCACTTACTTTTTTTACAGAAAGTAAACTAAGTCTAAGGAAAAACAAAATATACCAAACATTGAAAGGTATTTCCTAACTAATAATAAAATTTGGTATTTCTGGTTATTGTTGAGGTAATTCCCTGTTAGGAGAATGAGCGCATACAGGGAGACATAGTGAGAGAAGTGAAGAATAACACACACACACAGCACACAGATACACTGTACAGTAAATGTAGGTTTTTACTTCCAATAAACGTTTAAGCAAAGTTCAAGATAAGCAGTCCAAGTCATTCACAGGTAGAGCAATCAGTGTTCAGTTCAGGGATAATCCAAATATTAAAGTCCAGTATCAAAAACAGTTCCGTAACAGACTTACATGAACGATCAGTAACAGTCATTAGGAGGAACGGCAAAACTCTCCAACAGAAGGAAACAGAAACTCACTGAGACTCACCCACTTCACGGAGACTCTATTCTGAGACTAAACAACCCAGGTTTCTGGCTCCATCTTATGGCCATTTGAGAAACCACACCCAATTACAGTTTTAGGATTCTCTTAAAGATAAAATGTCTATCCTGGTTTTTATATTTCCAACCCAAATAACTGTTAGGTGACTTATATTCCTAACAGTTATTAATAAGATTCAAATATTACACTTGGTCCAGTGTGACTAAAGTTAATTATAGTCAAGTAGGGTCTTATTCTAATTAATCTCTTGACTTTTTTCCTAATAAAATTATAGTTGCATTGGTTCCGCCTCACCCATCTCTTATGATGCCATTCCTTCTGAGGGTCAATTATTGATGAGATTGCTATTGTGTTAAGGCTTCTGCCATGCATGTGCCTTAGCAAGAGTTTACTGCCAAATGTTTTCCTGTATTTATTTAACGTGTGTTGCCCTGGTCCCCAAGAAACTTTTGGATTTGGATTATTGTTTTTTCTTACAGTTCAACCAAGCTTCTGTCATTCGGAGCTACACTAAGTTTGTGATGGGGGTATGTAAGATTTGTGCCTTTTGAAATGTGTATAGTTGCATGTTCCTGATTCACAGCTCTTGTCGCTCCTCCCAGGCTTTATCTCTAATATCTTAGGAGTGCAGTTTCCAGCCAGCATGGCCAAAGCCAATTCCATTCTCTGAATTGGGCGGGAAAAACAGAAGTCTTGGCAGCACTTTTCCAACTAATAGATTTTATTAAAAGGCGTAAGCTTTTGTGAACTGTGGTTCACTTCATCAGATGTTTGAGTGACTTGATATACATATAATATAAAATGAGATGCTGGGAAAGAGAGAGAGGAAAGCAGGTTGATTACACAGATGAAGGTTTGGATGTGAGACAGATTACAAATACCTCACCAATTGATAATTGTAATATGTAAAAAAAAAAAAAAACGTAGTGTGGAGCTCTTTTGAGGCAGCTTGAACATTTTTTGATCTCTGTGAGTTCAGCAACCTCGGAAAGTCTTATCAAATACAAATGGTTACAGGAGGCCAGGCCTTTTCCTTTCAGGTCTCTAGTTGGATGGTTCAGTTCCTTGTGATTTGAGATCTCACAGTGGAGAAATTGACTTCTGTCCCACTCTCCTGCTACTCTACCCAGCCCTGTTAGTCCTTGGTATCAGGTGCCAGTGCTGAGTAACCAGATGGGTAGCAGCTACATGTAATTGGAGTTCTAGTAGAAAAAGAGTCAGCTCTCCATGAATTCTTCTCTCCTTACCCTTATAAGTCCTAGCTGTCTGGAGATGGCAGTGATCATTTGTATCGCAGGCTTTAAAACAAAACAAAAAAAGGGGAAACACTACTATAACCCTGGAATAACTAAAGGCAGTTAATATCAGTTTACATCTCAGTTGGCTGGGAATAAGACTAAAGCAACATTATGATGGTCTATCTTTTCAGAACAGTTGGTGAGAAATCTTTTGCTGCAATTAATAGGAACTGAAGATATATTCTGCTTTCCAGATGTACATATCAACAGAAAAGTGCAGCTGCAATATACTAAGTACTGAGGACTCTTTTAAGTGCAGGCTTTTTTTTTATTTACAATTGCTTCTGTGGCCCACTGAATTGGTTATATGTATATTACTGTAGTAATATGTAACCCAATTCTGGTAAAAAAGATTAGTAAACTTGTCATTTCCTATTACTTTTGCACAAAATCTTGTTTACCTACAATATTTGCTTTTTTTTTTTTTTTTGCTTAACAGTGAAGAATAGAAGGAATGCCTCAAATATTTCTTTGTTACAGATTGCCGTGAGCATGTTGACATACCCTTTTCTTCTTGTGGGTGATCTCATGGCAGTGAACAACTGTGGGTATGTGATATTAAACACCACCCCCCACCACTCCAGCAAATACAACTTAATCTCTCTAGTGAAAATTTAGTAGGCTTCCTGTTTGGCAGAATTACTCAATAGTCTCAGTTTCCTAGATAAAAGACTTTAAGTCTTGTATGCATAAAGAAAGCCAACATTACTTTCCTGTCTTCTTTGTCAAGAAAGAAAAAAGAACTAGAGAGAGAGAATAGACTTTAATTTATACGGATAGATTTGGAATCAATGAAGGAAGAAAATAACTGGTTTGGTTGTATATGTGTCTGGGTTGTGTTTGGGGCAAACATTTTTATCAATTATATGCATTTTTAGTTTAATAAACATAAAGCATATACATTCTTTTTTGCAAGTATGTTTCAAGTTTATAAACATTGACAATTTTCAAATGACAGAAAACTTAACGAAGAATTTCTTATCCTATAAATTTGTGCAATATCTAACGAGAATGCACAAGTAATACATTTTGCAGATAACTTCCTTTCTTTTTTATTATAATTTATTTTAGAAGTGCAGTCAGAAAAATGATAAGGGAAGAATGAAAAGGGAAAAAGGAAAAATTAATAGAAAGGGAATGTACAGGCCTTATAAAACCAACTACAGGTGAAACTCGAAAAATTAGAATATCGTGCAAAAGTTCATTTATTTCAGTAATGCAACTTAAAAGGTGAACCTAATATATGAGATAGACCCATTACATGCAAAGCAAGATAGTTCAAGTCGTGATTTGTCATAATTGAGATGATTATGGCTTACAGCTCATGAAAACTCCCAATCCACAATCTCAGAAAATTAGAATATTGTGAAAAGGTTCAATATTCAAGGCTCAAAGTGTCCCACTCTAATCAGCTAATTAAGCCATAACACCTGCAAAGGGTTCCTGAGCCTTTAAATGGTCTCTCAGTCTGGTTCAGTAGGAATCACAATCATGGGAAAGACTGCTGACCTGACAGTTGTGCAGAAAACCATCATTGACACCTTCCATAAGGAGGGAAAGCCTCAAAAGGTAATTGCAAAAGAAGTTGGATGTTCCCAAAGTGCTGTATCAAAGCACATGAATAGAAAGTTATGTAGAAGGGAAAAGTGTGGAAGAAAAGGGGGCACAAGCAGCAGGGATGACTGCAGCCTGGAGAGGATTGTCAGCCATTCAAAAGTGTTGGAGACTTTCACATGGAGTGGACTGAGGCTGGGGTCAGTGCATCAAGAGCCACCATACACAGACGGATCCTGGACATGGGCTTCAAATGTCGTATTCCTCTTGTCAAGCCGCTCCTGAACAACAAACAACGTCAGAAGCGTCTTACCTTGGCTAATGAAAAATTGAACTGGTCTGTTGCTCAGTGGTCCAAAGTCCTTTTCTGATGAGAACAACTTTTGTATCTCATTTGGAAACGAAGGACCCAGAGTCTGGAGGAAGAATGGAGAGGCACACACTGCAAGATGCTTGAAGTCCAGTGCGAAGTTTCCACAGTCTGTGTTGATTTGGGGAGCCATGTCATCTGCTGGTGTTCGTCCACTGTGCTTCATTAAGTCCAGGGTCAACATCTACCAGGAGATTTTGGAGCACTTCATGCTTCCTTCACAGACGAGCTTTATGGGGATGCTGACTTTATTTTCCAGCAGGACTTGGCACCTGCCCATACTGCCAAAAACACCAAAACCTGGTTCAATGACCGTAGGATTACTGTGCTTGATTGGCCAGCAAACTCACCTGACCTGAACCCCATAGAGAATCTATGGGGCATTGCCAACAGAAATATGAGAGACATGAGACCGAACAATGCAGAAGAGCTGAAAGCCGCTATTGAAGCATCCTGGTCTTCCATAACACCTCAGCAGTGCCACAGGCTGATAGCTTCCATGCCACACTGCATTGAGGCAGTAATTGCTGCAAAAGGGGCCCAAACCAAGTACTGAGTATATATGCATGCTTATACTTTTCAGAGGTCCAATATTGTTCTATGTACAATCCTTGTTTTATTGATTGCATGTAATATTCTAATTTTCTGAAATTGTGGATTTGGGGTTTTCATGAGCTGTAAGCCATAATCATCACAATTATGACAAATCACGGCTTGAACTATCTCGTTCATATATTAGTTTCACCTTTTAAGTTGCATTACTGAAATAAATGAACTTTTGCACGATATTCTATTTTTTTTTTAGTTTCACCTGTATAACATTTCAAAATTATATGTTATACATCTGCCTGCCGCAGATCAATGTAAAATACTTAGTATTTTAGGTCAGTCTTAAAATTAGTCAATATTAAACTTTGATAAGTATATAATAATTGGCAACCATATCCAGTATGAGTCAAATTATACAATACAGACTGAGATTTTAAAAATTGAAAGTTCTGCCTAATCCATAAAATGGGCATATCTAGCACATTGTAGAAACATTTATTATAATCTTATGTTAGGAAAAACTCAAGGCAGTTTCTTTCTAAGGCAAAAACATGTTTTTTTCTGTAGCAAACAGACTTGTTGCCATGTATGCCTTGCTTGTTACTTTCTCTGTCATATATATGTTCTCCTCTGACAGCTTTCTTTGCTATGTAGGTTACTTGCTGGGCTTCCTCCATATGTACCTGTGTTTTCTTCTTGGATTCATTGTTGGAGACACCTTAGTGCTCAGGTGAGTATCATTCTTTCTCTGAAATGGATATTGGCCCATGTAAATAATTCCATCTTTCTTTTTTCTTTTGTTTTACTGTTTCTTACCTTATTCTGAATTACATGCACATAAAATCTAGCAGCAGACAAAATTGTCCTCTTGTTGACTATGAAAAAGATTGCCTTCCCTCGCCTTTTATTTTTAAATTTTCTTCCTTTCCTTTCCTTCTTTGAAAGCTCCTTCAGTCTTTTCTCACTGAAGGGAATTTACAATGCATGGGTTCTTTATATGTGTTATATTAAGTAGAGATTTAATATAACACCGTAGAGATGGATAGCTAAAAGGCACAACTTGAAATCTGGCAAGAAAAGGCGGGGATCTAGTTTTAAATTTTGCTTTGCTTCTTCTAAAAAACACTACTTTTTACTGAAGATAAAAGACTTTGTTAACTTGCCTGTGCATCAAAACATTTTAATAACTTTCATATATTAGTTGGTTCCTGTTTTCTTTCTCCCCTTATACTTTTAACACTTGAGATTATTAGTTGCATTTTTCTAATTGTATATATCTCTTGCTTTATTTTAATCTAAACTATGACATCATTATTTGTCTTTATAGGCATATTTTTTATTTTCTATAATATTAGTATTATCAGTTCAATGGTGTTTTTCAGCATGTTTTAAGAAGTGCAAACAGGAACATTCTATGCCTTTATTAATTTATTTTAACATCATCAGTGTCAGGGTTCCGACCAACGCCCTAATAAAATCAGGAAGCTCAAGCCATTTCTCAAAAAAAAAAAAAAATACAACTGTTCACTAGGAGCACCATGTCAGCACTAAGTGAAGCCAGCTCTGACTTTACCCAGTTCACACCTTGCCTCTGACCCTGTTGCCCCCTCTCCCCAAGGTGTGTCACCAGTCACATTCCCCAACAAACAATTTCACAGTCATAGAAGTCACTCCCTCCAGCCATTGCGGGTCTCTGTGGAGATGGCCTTGACTTTGGCCAGCTAGGCTGTGTCTTGTTTTGACTGAGGTGTGAATTCCTCAGTTCAGCTGTGAGGCGCAATTTTCCATCCCCCTGCCTATGGGAGCAGGTCAAGAAAGCTTCGTGAGTTGACAATAAGAACATATGATCAGGTGACAGCTTGATTCTTGCAGGCTTTGAATTCTGCTCATTTTTTCTTCCCCCTATCATTTGTTTATGCATACTCTAATTATATATTTTTTTTGTCTGAATAGGGGCGTCAATCTAAGATTTTTCTTATGTGTTTTCTAATAGTGTTCTCCATGCAATAAGATCTCATTCTTCTTTTCTTTCAAAAGTTTATACAAATTTCATTCATGTGCAGAGGGGAAAAAAATAGAAATATTTGAGAATTAAGGTTGTTCATTGGAAGGAACAGTGTTTCATTTTCACGTCTAGTAATCTTGGATAGATTTTTGCAAGTGAAAACAGATTTTGTGTTGCCTATGACACTTGCAGTATATAATAAAACCTATAGAACTATATCACATTATTGTTAGTCATATCCCTTTGTAACCATTTATTGATACAGTATATTTATTTGAAAAACTGATACTTTTAAAAATAAACTTTAACAATGTATCTCAATCAGTATCCAAGGTTTTCTATTCATCAGACATAGCAAGAACTGGAAACTGATTTTACATTCAATATAAATCTACCAAAAAAAAAGCATTGTGGTACATTTGAGAAGTTTTTCATTCCAGTGCTCCAGCTCTCATAACAAAGAAGCTGTATATTTTTTTAAATTGAGTTTCTGTAAAACCTTTTAAATACCACTGTTCAGAAGCAAAGAGTTTTTGATTCCCTGTCACTGAACCTTGTTCACTTAATGTCTTTTTGTCGTGCTGCCTAAAAGGAAAATAAAGAGTGTCTTAAAAGCTTCTAAATAGCTAGTATGGAGAATTATTTTGCCCTCATGAAGGCTTTGGGAAGCTTTCATTTGAAATCCTACTAGGAATAGGGAAGAAACATATCAGACACTAAAATGGTGGTGATGGGGGGAGACCAGGGTTGCCATTGAAAATAAATTTGTGCTCCATGTGAATTGAATCTCTAGGCAATATCTTTCCTCTGGCTGACATCATCTTATAGTAGCATTATATTTGCTTTCTTTCATCAATATTCAAAAAGTTACAATTTTTGTCCAGCTCTCCACGTTTTGTTTTACATAGATATATTCCCATGCTCTCTGAGCTTGAAGTTTCGCCGCCAGGTATTGTGGTCTCTCTGTCCCTGTGATTATTGCAGTTCTCAGTTGATCAGCAAGAAGTTGCAACAGATCTTAATAAACCATTTTCTATAACATGTTCCTCTCCTTTCTCCAGGGGCAGCTCTTCAGAGGTTCCAGCCTACTTTTTCGTAGAGCATCCACACCAGCAACTTTTTTTGTTGACTAATGTGATAGACAGAAGCAAACTTAGATCCTTGTAGAAGAGACTCTAAAACACCTTGTTTTTACCATTCTTTTTCATTTGTAAAATGAAAGGCTTTCAGCAGTAAGAACAGCTGATTTCAGAAAGCTTGACAACAAAATGTTCAGATATTTCTGGCTAGATCTTGCCTGCCAGATGAAGGGAACAGTGCTGGTCAGGCCTTAGATCAAAGGGGCAGCCTGAATAATGATAACTTTTCAGGTTTTCAGGCATAGTCATGGTTTTGCAGGATATAAGAAGCTGATTTACCTTTTTCCCTAAATAAGATCTAAGATGGAATGCAGATTTCCCCGTTTAGTACCATTAGAGAAAACAGCTTAAACTTTATCTCTTTATCAGTTTTGGTTTTTTGCCATGTAATTTAGTCTACATATTAAATCCAACCGATGTTGGAATACATTTCATTCCTAACATTTAGCAAAACCACAAACACCCTTAATACTGAATTTTTTAATCATGACATGTATAAACCTGATTGTTTAGATTTTGTAATATCTCTAGGCAGCTTATTGAACATCATCTATTTTTAAGTTAAATATTTGACAAAGACACTTCTTAAACCCTAGCGTAGAATGGATTATTTACATGGATCTATCCAGAATATTTTTTGTTTTGTATTGATTACAAATTTAAGCTCGATTCCGGTAGTTCCCGACTTATGACCACAATAGAGACCAGAATTTCTGTTGCTAAGCAAGGAAGTTATTAACTGAGTTGTGTCCATGATCTTGGTTGTTAAGTGAATCAGTGCAATTGTTAAGTGAATCATGCAGTTGTTAAACAAATCCAGCTTTCCCTATTGACTTTTCTTGTTGGAAGCCAGCTGGGATGGTTGCACATGGCAATCACATGACACCCAAAACTGGTTGCCAAGTCTCTGAAATTTGACCACCTGACCATGGGATGCTGTGAAGGTTATAAGTAGGAGGACCAGTCATAACTCACCTTCTTCAGTGCTGCTGTAACTTTGAACAGTCACTAAACGAATGTTTGTAGATCAAGGAATACTATATGTTGTGATTTAGGAAGAATTCTATAATAATGAAAATTGGGCTACAGAGCCCTTAGTACAAGAAAAGGTCATGTATGTATGATAATTGAGTTGTGGTAGTTCTCATGTCATACAGAGACATTCCAGATGTCAGACAGAACACTTTTTTTATATTAAGATTCAATACAGCTGCAGAGATAATACATCTGACAATAACAATTATCAAGTCAGGCTTTTGGGGTGATTTCTGACCAAAGTAAAGTAGTAAGAGCCAAGAAAATGATTTTGCTGAATACCATGAGCAGTATTTTTCCTGGTCAGCAATGTTATATAAATATGAAATAATATTGCACTACATTACTGATTTTATTTTTTGATAAAAACTTGGTTGTGTTGGGATGCCTACTGCAGGTCACTTATTCTAGCTAAGCAGCATTTGCCATGTGAACACTTAACTCATTAGATCATAGTTAGCTTTTCTAGTATTTACTTCAGATTGTAAGTTTACTGATTCAAAATTCACTAAATACAGTTGGAATGGCTTTTGGACAAACCGCTACAGGATTGCACTGTTAAGATAGTTTTTACTGCTGAGCTTTTCCTAACATTTAAACATTTAAATGTTTAACATTTAAACAACTTGGCCTTACTTGCAATTCCTACAATCAAATTACTCATTATATTAATTTTTGCTACAAAGAGATCTGTCAATTAATGTGAGTCCCACTTTAAGCAGCTTTGCAAATAGCATAGTAAATTTATATTTCTGGTGATGGAGTATCTTTTTTACCAATTAAATATTCTTGCCTGCTGACAAATTGTCATATTCAGAATACCTATTCATGTGAATAGTCTTAAATAGAGCCAAAGGAAGACTGAGTACTGTAAATGAAAGTGAGAATTCATGTGGCTTTAGTTCGAAATTTTATACAGTTAAATCATGCATATCACAAGGTAAGAAAAAGCTATTTTCAAATTACAATCATGCAGAACAAACCACAAAGGGAAAATGGGAAATATGCTGCTTTGTTTTTTTGGTGCTACTGTTTAAAAAACCTGAATTGATGTTGGTCATCGGGAAGCTTAACTAAAGAATAAAAATGTAACATTGGGATTCTGAAGTACATTAATTCATTGTACAATATTAATACTGAAAATGTTGCTCAGCAAGCTGTGTTCCAGCTTTATCTATACACAGAAGAAAGTCTTGTTTCCATCTAGGTTTGCTGTAAATAGAGCCAGTGACTCCATACCATTTAACTTTGGTGGTAGGTTTTATGTTTTCTGCATGTGTGTATTACTCAGTAATTCCCAAATGGATCTAAGCTGGCTTCAGGAAAGCATTGAAGTGCTTTCTGGGTCAGGAGCCAAGTGCATTAATTTTGTAACTTTCATACAGTGAAGTATGGTATGTCTATTTTGTCATTGTTTTTCTTGGTATTTTCTTTTAACCCAGAAAGGAAAATATTCACAATCTCTTGCTTCAGAAAAGTTGTAGGAATTCTTTAGGGATGAAATTTGTCTTTCAAATGCAGTGGCCCAGAAATTTTATTTTATCATCACAATCTTTTGAGCCAATATATTTGTCCTGATGATTTGAGGATTACATCTGAAAAATATATTGTGTAAGCATTCGGCACAATTTATTGGGGAACGGTTTTTATGGAATCTAGAAATGCAGGTGCTTCCATAGCTTCTGATCTTTGCCAAAATTTTAAAGTTGTTTATGTCAAAGTAAATGAACAGCTACAGCAAATTAATTCAAAGCTTACTTGATATCTGTTTGAAAATAAAATGTGAAAATAACCTCAACTGTATTAATATTGCTTGTTAATGTAAATAAGTAAATGAATTCAAATCTTATTTGACATTTTAAAAATAAAATGTGAAAATGACTTCAATTGTGTTAATATTGCCTATAGGCTTGTAGTTTTTATCTTTAAATACAGCTAGATAGTCAAGAAAAAAAATTGCACATTTGAATCTAGTTCCTTCTGGTATCAAGTTGAGAATATAAAATCCAGGTCTAAAAAGCAAGCAAAATGCTTTCTATTCTATCCAAACGATTTTAAATTGGTATTCGTTCCTTGCCCTGAATTAGATATTATAGCTGATGGTATTGTTTTCAGATAAAGATAAGTGAATACAGAATACAGGCCAAGAAAGAAGTGAAATTTTGAAGGCATTTTTTTCTGAGTAATAGGGTGGCCTTTTTTCTTAAATTCTTTAGCAAGTAACTTCTAGAATGTAGATTATTTTAAAGAGAATAATGGTATTTGGTATCTTGATTCTGTTGCAATATTCTTTTAAAATAAAGATTGAATTAGGTCCTAGTTCTTATTTATTTATTCATTCTTATCCATGCTATTTTTGGACAAAATTTTAAGTCGTTTTATTTAATCTTTAAAATCTTTTAGTGTGCTTTTACTTTTGTCAAAGCTGTTAATCATAAAATGTGCAAATTGAGCTCAGCCATGATATAGTTATATTTATATAAGTCAAGGCTAACTACATGAACTACTTATCTTTTAAAGATACCAGTTTATGACATACTTACATAGATTAAATGCTTTATAATTAGGAACACAATTCTATTTATATTCACTCTGAATTAAATTCTATTGACTATAATATGAGTAGCTCCTATGAAAGCACATACTGTTATAAGCCAAGTATGAGCTGATAAAACCCCAGTGAAGGTCATACCTGTGTCATGTAATGACTCATTAACATTAGACAAATTATTGTCTCTTAGCCTCAATCAGTATCCACTTTTTGAGTCAGAGGAGAAAAGTCACATACTTAATGAACAAGTAGAAATGATTAAATGGGGATTACTAATGCTTTATATATGGAAAGCTTTGAACAGTACTATTCCAAAACAGTATTTTTTAAATAAATCTGATGGTGGTTTTACCCTTCTTTAACATGATGATGATTATCTAAGCAATAAAAGCCATATTAATTTTTAAATTAGACTATACAAGTGGTATTTTTTTCTTTCCTGTGCAGTTTGAGATTTCTTAGACTTCTGTCTTTTGCCACCTTCTGTCCTAATTTATCCCTTTAAACTAAAGGCCAGTACTGAGTTTTGTTCAGTCATTGCGTTTTGAAAATAGTCTTATTATCATTACATGACAAGATATTCCCCATATATTGGGATAACTTCAAACTAATGACAGGCTATGATTAGATACAAGGCAGTTTCATATGGCTAGTCTGAATGTTCTAATTCTCCCAGTCTGTTTTCAGAAGCATTTGATATATTTTACAAATCTGCTTCAGAGATGATGCATTTGCTTTTTTTTTTTTTGTCAGATCCTATTCTTGTTTGCTTGGGAGAAGAGGGATATATCAATTCCTGCATTTTTGTGTTCAGTCAGCTGGCAAATTGCTGATTGATTTGGTTGTACAACTGAGTAGTATATTAATAAGACAACAGAGGGCAGACGGTATTAAAGATTTTTTTAAAATTCAGCAAAGGTACAGAGTTATTTACTCAAATTCAGAAAATGAGTTGATAGTAGATCTTTTTTAGATTCATTCATTCTAAAGCCAACAAAAGCTTATACAGTATTGTTTATTATTAAATTTAGCTGATCAGTTTGTACTGCAGGCAGCTTGCAAGCACGTATAGCACAGGATTTAAAATGCAATTTAAAATAATACAGAATATTGTAACTATTTTAATTTTTAAAACATACAATTTTAGATTGAGAATCAAAAGTTAAAACAATTTTAAATTGAGAATCAAAAGTTAAAATCTATTTAATAAATAGATATGAATTACTCTGGCTCTGTAGGGGGTAAATATTGAATTTACACAGTTACTAAGCTACTGTACTATGGGTTGATTGTTAGCTAGGATTGCATAATATGGTGAGCTAAATAGCAATCACATGATGGCTTAGCATTATATGTGAATCCAACAAAGATGGCATCAAAAGACCTGTTCTGGGAAGGTTATATCATAACTGGAATGCCACCGCTTAGAGATTATTTCCTCTGGTCATCCATCTCTCATTTGCTGAGGGCACTCTAAGAAGAATTTCTGAATATCTCAGAATTGTGTAGCAGGAGGAATCCTTTTCGGTAACTTGAATCTTAAAACTCCACTGCACTCCACCAAGAACTTGGCAAACAACTTGGATGGAGTGGTTCTTTCTAAAAAACCCAGCTGTGCTTGTGGTAAGCCCAGCACAGACTTGGCTGGGTCGAGGAGCCACCAGTAGTAGAACGATACCTCAGATCTACTAAAACAGGACACATACAGCTGAGACCTCACTTCCTTCTTCTGATCATTACCTATTTTTAGCATAATGCAGCTGTTTTGAATTTTGAGAACTATTTCCTTGAGCAAAGTCACTAAGTACCTCCCGTTTTGTAATTCTTCAGCCTTTCTCAGGGACAAACTGGCAAGTGGTTCATTTATTTAATATTTGTGGTGTATAATTGTGTTGTTCTCTTATATTTTTCATCTTTCTTGAAGGAGGGCATATTATGCCCGTCTCCCTTTTTGTTTGTTTCCTGTGTGTTTTATATCTAGTTCCTTTTGGAGATAATGGTATCGTCTTAAACAGATTTTCCATTTCATTTCCCCACCCCCAGCATTATGAAGAGACCTGCTGTTTTCCAAAAAATTGTAACTGAGAAGTGTTAATCTTCCAATTTTTCAATGCATTTTTGTTATTTTTCAAGCAGGGTTCTTAACAAAAAACATAGTTCAAATAAAAGTTTAAAGCAACTATGGCTTTAATTCTCAAAGATGAAGTTGGAAAATGATGTATGATGGAAGAAAAGAGTTTAGTTGCTCATCTTCCCCCCCCCCTCAAAATTGACCAGCACAGTCATTAAATTATTCAAAACACTTGAGTATCTATGTCAGAGCATACCTAGAAAGGTTTATAGTTTTGAAGGTTGACTCAAGCAAAAGGTGAGATAAAAAGTTTGAAATTTGCTCATATTACAAGATTTCATTTCCAAGTTTTGAATCAGAATTTAAAAGTTAAGTTTTCAATGTAGGTGTTTTCATATCAGTGGGTCCTGGCATACTTTCATTATATTGTGGCTTGTTTGTTCTTTAAAAAAAATAAGATATTAATTCTAAAAACTGTTTAGCTGCTACCATTGCCCCTCATTGTTAGAAAAAGATACAAAATTTTGTTGCAAACTAATGGAGTGCATTGTAGAAAGTAAAAGCCATCTTGGCAGACTTGCAAGATAAGCCCACCTCTATAGATTTGCAATTTAAAATTGAATAGACTCTTGATTCTGTGAGTCAGGATTCGGCTATATGTACTCACCTGTAAAATCATGCTGAGTCCTTTAAGATTAAATCTCTCACAATTTTAAGTATTTGTCATGCCTTTGAAGCTTCAGCAGTTCAATGATATCCTGGATGTTTTTAAACTTTAGACTTTCTTTGTCACAACATTACTATACAAATGCACCATTCATAGACATTCATACACACAGCCAATCTGTAGCAAAAAATAATTTCACAGAAGCCAGCTGGTGTCGGGCAATTCAAAATATACATAATTCCAATAACAACAAGAACATACCTACACAAAAGGAAGGAATATCGGCCCACTAAAGCTGGATAGCCACAGAACATTGTCAACTGGATCAGGAATGGAGAAATCAAGAAACCTTGAGGGTAAAAAACAAAATGGAGTATCTGGGAAAGCACATGATTGGTTGAACACCTAAATAGAAACTTTAGTCCAGGCTTCACTTACTAAACACTAAATGTCAGTGTTTAGTCACTGACTAAATGTCAGTGGCGGGTCAATATCAAAATTGTGAAATCAAACATTGATACTGATCTAGGGTAGTTGGCAAGCATTTAAGTAATCACAATATTTGGCCCATGAGTCTAGGAGCAAATATGTTTCAGATCTATCTTGATTGTCTGAAGTTTCATTCTATAAAGGGGATAACGACTTCCCAGGCATCAGGCTCAGGTAGCTTCCCTGTATAGGATTAGAGTGGCCAACTGTGCAATGAAGGTGCTTTCCAGTCAGGACAAGAGTGTGTGGGATATGACTAAAGATGATGCAGTGTTGCTTGCTAAACAGAGGAGCCATTATTGATGCCGTGGAGCACGCCCTTGGCCTAGAGTGATAGGAATGTTTGCTTTCCTCTGCTCCTGTTGTACAGTGCCAGAGCAGGCAGCACGTAGACAAGAAGACAACAGATCCCAATAGGAGGGGGAGCAGGGCAATAAGCTTCCCACAAAGGGCATGACTAGATTTTGGCATACAAACAAATCGGCAGTGAATAGCTTGCTATCCATTAATCCCTAGTCTCCTTTCTTGGTGTTTTATTTGGAGATGACATTAGGAAGCCCATAATACAGATCAATTCTTGAATGCTGAATTCAGAGTGAAAGTGGCAGGCATTGAAATCATGTCTCAGTCAGGATCAGGACAAATTCTATGTAAGTTGCAGAGATATATATTTTTTTTAAGAAATTAAGATAAAAATTATAAAATAAGGATAAGAAGCAAAAAAGAATACTTGTGTACAAAATTCCTTTTTTTCCCTAGAGTGGAATGGTTAATGCATTTCCAGACAGGAAATAAATTTATTGTAAAAGTAATTATTTCTTATTATGATAAGTGCACTTCTGGAAATATGTGAACCACATCCAAAATATGCCAGACATCCCATTCCAAAGGAAAAAGGCATGTTCTGGAGCCAACCATTCCTTATCGCACAACTTTTTTTAATGAAAATAAAAAGCTATCAACTAGAAATGACCTGGTCTAAATAAAAATGTAGTCATTAAGATGTTACATAATCACTATAGAGATCCAAGTTGAAGTTTCTATATGATCATGGATCTTTTGGACCATTAATATAGTCCATATTACAAGGTTATATGAGGAAAAAATGTGGCGGGATCCCAATATAAATGCAAATTTGTAATAGGAATAAAACAACTCTGAGGGGCTGAGAGAGATTGACTGGCTCAAAGCCACCCAGCTGTTGCTCATGCCTAAAGTGGGACTAAAAGTCATAGTCTTGTTTTCTCAGTCAGGAACTTTAACCATTAACACTAAACTATCTCTTAATATCTTAATAGATAGGCACAGTCACAGTGGCAGAATGGAACATTATGCTAATTTACTCGCAAGTTTTAAAATTGTTCCATATATTGGGCCTAATCACAAACCTACCTACTGTTTTTTATATTAATAGGCAGATACATGGATCCTTTTAAGCAAGAAACAATATCTAAAACCTATAGATAGCAGCATAAATGAGAACATTTTTCTGCCTCCATTATTATTTAGATTAGAAAAGAACCCACGGGTGTGAAACTTGCAGCATCATATTACTGTCACGTGATATGGTGCGACATTTATCCCATTTGTAGAGCTGGGGTGGGCATCCAGCCCGTGGTCCGCCAGTTTGACACCCCTGCTCTAGTCTATTAGAAGCTGAACTATCATTTATTGGCTAAGCTGCATGAAGGTGATGGAAACTGAAGGTTCACATCCTTAGGGAAGTGTAGTTGAGTGTTTGAAATTATCTGTATTCATTCAAAATAGTAAAACTATTCCATTTCATTTAATGCCACTAATAATTTCAGCTTTCTCATACATACCAGATTATTCTGCTAGACAAAATAGGAGAAAAATGAAATGTGAAGAAGGTGAAGTGGAGAAAGATATCCAAATATTCTTTCTCTCAGCCATGAAAATCTTAAAAAATTATTGGTGTATTTCTTACTGTTATTCCTTAAAAAAACTTTTTCTTTATATAGAGGAAATTTATCTTGCCTTTTCTGACAATAGTTATTATAAGCAATACTGAGCATTACATTAGTATTTTTAAATGATCAAACTATATATGATAGGCTCAATTTGAGGTACAGAGTACAAGATGTGGACAAGAGTACAAGATAACATCTAAATCTGGGAATCACAAATTCTGATAATTCGTCATGATCAGGTGTGAAAATTTGTTTTCTTACAAAGTCAAAATAAAACAACTTCATGTCAGATTCCAATCCAAGCAACTAACAAAGGGAAACGAGGCTTCCTACCCATAATAGAGGATTTAGGATTAGTTTATCCATAGGTGACACAGGATATAGAGGTAGAAAATGTGAACATTGAGTCTACTATATGGGATTTGTTTTTGATAACCTCACAATCATTGTTTTTCATAATGACATTAGATCTACTGAAATAAAAGATATTTAACAGACATTCTGGATCCTTGAGTGCCTGGTAATTGTTTCTAGTCTAGGCCATCAAGAGAACTTTGAGTTTGTGTAAGCTTGTTGGATAGTGTGGGGCATTTGCAGGTTTGGAGCCATTTGCTAAGCATGGGAACTTGGAAAAATGTCTTACAGGAACAGCTGAAAGATGTGATAGGACATGCACTTCCAACTAAAATGTCTGGGAAGCATCATCATATGGGTGACTGGTTTTTGCTAGGCACACATCCTAGACCCTTCCTTGGAGTAGTAGCAGTGGGAAGAAAGTTACTCGAATAGGCTACCGAGTCCCTTAATGCAGGAGTCCTCAACCCCTGGTCCATGGCACAATATGGGGCCATGGCCTGTTTGAAACCAGGCTGTGCAAGCAGGCGAGCTCATGAGCACGCAAAGCTCCATTTGTGCAAGTAGCGGGCGCACGAACAAAACCATCCCCTCTCACCACCACCACCACTGCTGCCTTAAAGGGTCTCTTTTTAGTATGCAAAGAAAAGAGGGAGCAGTTGTTCAGCTTTGCAATCAAAAGCGTTTCTTTCATTTGATCCTCATCCCCACTTTTTTCATCCTTCTCTTTGGGCATTCTCCTAGTCAAAGGGTGGACTTCCTATTCCTTCTTGTAAAAGATGCCCTATCACCACCCACTATGCTTAGTTTGAACAGGAAACTCCAGGGCAAGGGAACTCTTTGTCAGGCCAACACCACAAAGTTCTAGAGCAGTTCTAGAATGAGAAAAAAACAACTTTCCAGATCCTAGGTAATAACTGATTCACACAAACTACCTAGGTCAGGGGTATCAACTTCAGAAATGTCATGTGACAGCAAAGTGACACGGCGAGTTTGACATCTGTGACCTAGATAATATTAATACAGTAATAGTACATTAAAATAAGACAGAGCATAGGAGTGAGATTTCACAAGGTTTAAGCATAATACAAAAATAATTTTACAGGAAAAAACTTCTCTGGTGAAAATCAAAAACTATGACGTTACCAACTAGTAGCTCCAATCTGGCTTTATTTTAATTTTATTACAGTATTACTACTATCCTTCCAAGTAAGGAATTGGTTTACTATGTTAAAATGAGTCCCAGTTTTACATGTATTACATTCTATGATTTGTTTTCAATCCCAGATTACATGTTTTAAGAGTTGTTTGCCATCCAGAGTTAAGTGATTGGAGCAGCCTATAAGCATACTAACTAACAAAATAAATTGTACCTCTTTTGTTATTCAATCATTTCAAATGTATTTGCTTTTATGGCTCGGGTGGTTGGATTGCTTTTGTAATTTTTTTCTCTGATCTGATTTTTCTAATCACCATTTGATTATTTTTTTTTCCTGAATCCTTTAGAATTTTTCATGCTGTGAAATTGATGGACTTTTTTTTAACCACAGGATGCCTTCGGATGATATAAAATATCTTAGGCATTGTAAAAAAAAAAAAAAAATGGTGACTGCCAAAGGCAGCTGCTTTCACTAGAGAAGCATAAGCCCCATTCTGCCCCAGAATCAGTGATGAATAGGTATGAATGAGACAACAAAAAACCCCAAATAATAGCATTTGTTTCTTAACAAATGAAGACTGGAGCAAATGATTTTCATTCGGTTCAGGTTTGCATTCATTACAAAAACAATTTGCATCCCTATCAGCAATTGCTTCTTGTTTTATTATGCAAAAATAATGGAGAACAAAATAAAATGCCATTCTGCAGCAAAAACAAATAACCCCAAAACTTCTTTTTTTTTTTTGTCTCAGGTTTTCTAATTACCAGTATCTTCTCTAATCTTAGAAATTTCACAGGAGTTGTGAAATCGATTTAAATCAAATTGTAAAAAGATTCTGGTCTATTTAATTTTACTTCTAAAGGAAATTTTATATTGCTTTTCTTTATAATACTCTACAGAAAAGGAAAGCCATCATTTGAAGTAATAAAATGTATCAATACAATATTCACATTAGAGGAAGAAATATTTTAAATATTTCCAGATTATCTTCAAATACTTCAGGTTAGCTACAAAGCTGTTTGTCATGGCAGAGCCCACGTTGCTTTGAACCATTTCCATTACTTACTTCAAAGGCCAAGTCATTCTTTTTTTAAAAAAAAATATCCCAGAACAGATCATAAAGAAGTGGATATGTTTAGTGTGCATTCTTTCTGCCTCCCCAAGATTGATGTGGGGAATACACAGTACTTATTTGTGATTGTTGGGATCTCTTCCTCTTAACAATACCAACTTTACTGTACTCTTCTTGCCAGCTGATGTTTATTAAGTCATGATCCATTTCTATATCTAGCCAAAAACCTGATCCCAGATTTAAAAAGGGGAACGTTGCAAGAAAAGACTGGTGGCCTTGTTGCTGGCATCACAGTTTATTCCCGGTGTCACAGCACCAACCATGTAGTATGATTGCTTGTATTTTCATGACAATGAAATCTACCTTAAGGAATCATAACAGGAGAACTCAAATCAAAAAGTTGTTTGCCCTCATGGAAACAAGGAAGGAGTAGGAATAAGGAAGCTGACCATTTCTTTTTCAAATAGAGAGATGACTACTGTATTCATTTACATGTTGCTTTTTGTCCAGTATATTCAATATGGCTTAGAGTTTAAAATGATCCTAGTGCAGAAATATCCCTGGGGTTATCCTGTTTTTGAACATGGATTCTTTTAGCCCAGAATTGGTAGGTTTGCCTCTAGAGGGCTCTGCTTGGTTCCAAAGGCTGCTGAGCTATAACAGCGGCCATTAGTCACCAAGGGACATCCCTCAGTCCAGTTAATTTGGTCAGGGAAACGTGCTCGTAAAGCTTTGCTACATTTCTTTCAAGCTGAAGAAATCAATTCTCAGCAGTTTGGATAGGATACAAGAGGCCCAGATATAAAGGTTGCGGGTTGGGAGGGAGAGAAAGTGAGAAATTGCCAATTGTTTTGTTACAGAATTAAAAGCATTTTATTAAGGATCTTATTTTTCTTGTTGATAGGAGAATACTGGGACTGTCTCGTAGGAAGAAATATATGGCTATAATGTTAGGTAAAATGGCTTCTGTTCTTACCACCAATGGGTAAGAATCATATGTGTAACTGGAAAGACTTTGTCTGCAACCATGATGCCCAAGAATATTTCAAAATTTCTGCATATACTAGGCTTGGATGTTCACCACTATGGAGGGAGAAACAGTGGGGTGGTTAATGCTACTTCCCTGGCTCATTTTGGTTCTTTCATTTCCTTTACCCCCTTAATTCTAAATTGCAGGAGCAACATCTAGAGAGCCACTTATGTTGCACCAGATGTAAGGAAAAGCTCCCCCGTCCCCTTGCTTTCCCTTGATTAAAACATTAGAATTCTTTAATCTCTCTGAATTGAGTTCCTTCCTTAAAAGCTGCCTGTTCTCTTTGATACACCAAAGCAGTTCTTGTCACGCTGCCAAAGGAGGCCGGGAGGAGTGTCACACAGCTCAAACTTTTACAAGCTGAGTGAGCCGGAAAACAAGCAAAGGCACACAGACATAGACAGAGAGAGAAAAAGAGAAAGGGAGGCAGAGAGCGAGAAAGAGAAATCTTATTTTTAATTTTTTGTTTTTGTGACATTTGGCTTTGAATGTATTTTTTTTTCTTCTTAATTTTTTTTTTTTTGCCTAACTTGACAAACCTTTGTGAAACTTGGAAGAGAGGAAAAAAATGACGTCACTGCAATCTGGGGGTGCCTTTTGCGCTGCCTGTCAGATCCAAAAGAAAAGAACACAGCAATAAAACAACGGCTGTCTCTGTCTCCTTCGTTAAACATGGCACTAATTGGATGTTAATTTCTCTTTGCTCTTCTCGCTGTTTGATTGTGAGAACTTGGTTCTTCCCCACCCACCCCCAGCAAGACTCTTGCCAATAGCAGGGAGTCCATACTGTATGTTCCCTCCCAACCGTGGGCTCAAAACAATTCAGAAGCCGGGCAGTATTAAAAATGCAGAAAGGGGAGGAGAGGGAGGGATTGGATTTGGGAGTTTCACGAAGCTCAACATTTTCCATTCATTGTGCTGTACAGAGTTCGGAGTATTCCCCCCGCCCTTGTGTTCTGTCCAGTCTCCTTGGCAGCATGGAAAAAAAAAAAAAAAAGAATTAACCCAACCACTACCCAACCCATGTGTGAAACAGCATGTAGGAGAACTCGTGCAGACAAGAAGCTGTTGCTGCCTTTATCACCCGGGTCACTCTTAAGGGGTGTTTGTGCTTCTTAGCTTGAATTCGAGAGGGTCCTGAGTGCATCTGAATTGATTCCCAATGTACATGCATGCACACCCATGCATACAGCAGTGCAGGGGGGAAAGGTAAGTTAAGTACAGGGTTGAGGAAGAGCAGGGTGAAATTTACCAAGGGAGATGGTGGGTGGGTGGAGAAGAAGAAGAAGGGGAGGGGAAGAAGCAGGAGGGGGTGGAGGGTAGAAATGTGGGAGTAAAGTCCTACCTGGGATCGGTGCCAACTTCCTGCACAGGGCTGCAGACCCGCAGCTTTGAGGCGACTTTTCTCTCTTGACATGATTCCAAGAGGCAAGGAAGGCAACAGGAACAGGTACAACAGATGCAGAGCAGCCTTGTTTGCCAGGGTGTTGGTGGGTAAGCCCTCTTCTCCTCCCCCCCCCCCTTCATTCCCTCTCGAATCCTTGTTGCAGACAGCTGTATTTTTAAATGATCCTTCCAAATAGGGTCGACAAAGAAGGCTTTTTCCTTTAATTTTTTTAAAAAAATGATTTTATTGTACGGCTTTGGAGGGACGAAGGGGCTTTTTATTCTCTTGCAAACATCTCCTGTCCATTAAGATTAACATGCAGGAGATGTGACTGTCACTTTGCTTATTGACAGTTGCCTGTACAGGGATGGGAAATGGCTTTGTTCCGTGCTGCCTGGGAAGCAGTGCCAACTCTGACTTGGCAGCTAAGCCAGAGTGGGCAGGGAGAATGTGGGGAGAGGGAGAGCGAGACAGAGAGAGAGAGAGAGAGAAAGAACGACTGCTGAGGCTTCCAAAGTGGAAATGGCTGTAGGCCCATTTCTGAACGAGCAGCTATTCAGTGCCCCTTTCGCTCGCTTGCTTGCTCGCTTTCTTTTTTTTAAATTTCTTCTCTTTCTCTCTCTCTCTCTAAGGCTGGCACAGAAAAAAATGGAAAATGGGAGCTGGAGGGAGGGTGTCCTCTTCTGGCATATCCCGGTAGTTTGTTTGCTTGCTTTGATTTGTTTTTAAACCATCCTCATCTCCATTTATGCCTCTTAACTCCATTTTTGCCGCCGACAAAAGAAACATTTCGCAAAATGAAACTGCTTCTTGTATAACATAAGAGGGTTGTTTTGTGTTTGTTTTCTTTTTGTTTCATTTTGTCTTTCATCTTCTTTGGCTGTGTTTTAAAGGAGCTTGCCGCCTCCAACATCTCAAGTTAGGAAAGTAGAAGTCAACATTTATTTTATGTACATATCTTAGGCTGCTAACACAGAGAGAAGAGAGAATGAGCTTCTTGTTTGAACTGGCATGGGTTGAAAGAATAGGTATTGGATGGAAATTATGCTTTGGAAATGGTTCTCAATAGAGACTGAGAAACTTTAGAGATTGGGAGCTTGGGAGGGGGTGGGTTCCATGGATATTTTTTTTCCCAGTTTGCTAATAAAGGGAGACTATTTGAAGGGTATATTGAAGTGGAGTTCCAAGTGGAGGAATTTGTGCCAGCTTCTCTTTATGCCAGCCTCTTGTCAGCCTTGGCATCTCATTCGGATGAAGCCTGGCATGCAGGCACCGCCCATTTCTTGGCGCTGAACTGCTCTGAGAAGGAAAAGGGAACGCATGGGGGGGGGGACTGTTTCACTGAAACTGGCCTTTCTTGAAAAGAGAAACCATTCCTTATGATTGTCCAGATCATCGAAGTTAAAGCCAGCGGCTACTGAGCAGAAAAATCTTTCTCCTTCCCGGCACATCTTTTTCTGGTACGAAATCAAATGTAGCTCTTTTGAAAATATTTTAAAATGTCATTTTATTTGTCCAAGTGCTTGGCACTTGCTACTCCTACATCCTTTCTTTCCTCCTCCATTCTTCTCGCTTTTTTATGTTAAAATATTCCATTTGTTTAAACCAACCCAACTTGGTGGGCTTTATTATTTATTATTTCTCCTGACTGTTAATTAGGATTTTATTTTTATTTTTCAAAATACTTTGATTCTGGGTAATTGGAAGCTAAGGTTTTTGGTGTGTGGTGTTTTTTTTTTTTGGATTTTTGCCACCCTACGCAAGGGAAAGAAAATTGTTGAATCATATCAGACTTGCAATTCAACATGGCAGCCCCTGCTAAGATTGTCTAGTTTTGCAAGGCTGAAAGACATTGCAAGAAATGCCCCTTTCTGGGGACATAAATTTTGATAGAGCTAACAAAGGGATAGAGAAATAAGTAGCTCTTTGGAGGAATGATTGGGGGAATTTTATATGCTGTCTTCAAGAAGAGGGAGAATTCGGCCATGTTATCCTCATCTCAGTATTTTGTAAGTGTTAACTATTTGTAATCTGTTCTGTACCTATCATTTAAATGATGATTTATTACTTGTTCAAATTTTCTTTTTGTTTCGCTGACACAATTTTAGGGTTCACCAAGATCATTTGGGGTATTAGGTTGTTTTGTGATATTCTTCAAGGTTTGTTATGTGAAATCATTATTTTTTTTTATTGGGGGAAATCTATAGACAATGTTTTTCAGAAATAAGAAAAGTGGGTGAAATTTTCAAAATACCCACTTTGCTTAATTTTTCCTTTCACAATCAAAAACCATTCTCCGGTTGCTACTGATACAAACTTTGATGGACTACACTACAGCAAACTTTAAGCCATTTGCCATGCAAGAATGACATGGAATGGAATTTAGTGTCTTTGATTTGTGTTGATAAATCTGGCCTCTTTATGTCAAGCTTAATTTAGGCCTCTGTTGTCCAAAACAACAGACTTTGTTTCTCTGAAAATAAAAAATTCCATCAATAAGCAATTGCATTTTTGTAAACATTGTACTGTTAACAAAACTTTTGTTCTGCTAATAACAATTTTTCAGGACAACACACAGAAAGATATCTTAGCTCTGCTTTCGAAAAGCACATGTTGGATGTAGAGCTTCAACAACTGCTTTTGCAAACTGTGAAACATGGAATATTTCATTAATTCTTTCTAGATTCCCTGTTTCCCATTGTAATAGTAATATTGAGGATAGATTTTGATTCTAGTTTCTCTCATTCTTAGGAGGGCTTGCTTTAGTTGGGGGGAAAAGATCTTCTTTGCAAATGCAGAACCTCTCTTTTTTGTTTGCAATTTTGCCAATAATCTATTCGCTAGAAAACCCATTGTCTCCTAGATGAAATCTTTATAACCCTAAGAGCAAACAGTATTTCTCAGTTCTTGATGTTTTGCAAGGTTGTCTTTTACTTCAGTAATTACTCTTCTCATATTACTGTGCATTTGCTATAATCCACCATTTTGTATCACGCTTTCCTTGTCCTTCTCACTACTTCAGTGAGTCTGTCTATCCTAATATAAATTTCAACATTTTGTTCCCAAGTAGGTGTGAGGTAAAATGTCATATTTCAAATAATGTCTTGATGAACTTCTTGACTTCCCTCATTACACACATACCAACCCCTGTGCTGAATTTCTTAGACTTTCTGTAAGGCCCAAATCAGATTTAAATGAAAGTGTTAAAATTCTGCTGAGATCACGATTAGGAAATTTGTGTGGGTGCACAGAAAACTGCATGATGGATTTTACAGAAAAATTAATATATCCAGCAAGTAGCAAGGGCGACAATTCAAGTGCTCAGAATCTTTTAAAAAAATTTCAATTTAAACTTCTGTACTTCATGAATCCATGCTTTGTCTATTACTATCCACTGAATGTATTCAGTTGTACTATATACATCCCTGAAATAATCAATTCATCTTTGGGGGAATATGTATTCATTACTCAAGAACATCAGAGATGGTACTTTACTATTTAATATTTAAGAAAACAGCAAAAAAAATCTATTTATCAAGTTGCCTGAGAAATGTGAGGAAGGCTGCCAGAAAGAACAAGATGGTGGCAGGGATGGGCTACCGACACCATTTTGAATTAGGCCAAGCTCAGCAGATATTCAACCAGGTTCAGAATAAAGGGAGATACTTTTAACAAGAAACATTACCATTTTGAGCACTTTTCTTCACATTTTTTGCACCATCCCTAATAGTGAGCTATAGTCATGCGGTTTATTTGCTAGCTTTAACAGCATAATTGCTGTTAATTTGACCTAACCTGCAATTTAAAATTTAAAAATGTGGTCTTCACTGATGAAACAGAAATCTGGTTTCCCACTGTTTCCAAATATATTGGAAGGTGGTTTTCCTCCTATATCCCTTTTTAGTGTAAAGTTCTTCATCATTTTTTTCATTTGTGAATACACTCGATTATTTAAAAATTTTCATCAGTATATTTTTTGGTTTATTCCTCTTTTTTGTACTTTTCGCTAAATATTTATTTAAATATGCCTTTGATCCTCTGTCACTTTTAAGTTTTCTTTTTTTTCTTTTGAAGTACATATTATTCTTTTTGTAAATAGGGTTTCATGGAAGCAGGAATTTTATGGAAGCAGGAAATAATATTTGAATTTATACTTCCAGAAGCACATCACTGGAACAATTTCAATAGTGCAATTCTGCTACTTCACATTGTAAAAAAAATGGTTTCAAGAACCAGAATATTAGAGAAATGTAATTTCTAGACTAAGAAGTTATTTCTAAATTAAACACTATATGGCTGAGGGGGAGTGATGGAAATCAAAACATTACACAATACTGCCATTTCTTGGTGTATGTAAGTAACCATTTGTTTAAGTAACCCTCAACATAATTTGTCTAGCTACCAAGTCTGGTCTCAAAACTAGCTTATTTGCCATTAATGGCGTAATATCAAATGAGCCAACAGTTGAAGAATACACCAATAGCATAGTCTTTCATAAAATGATGCTGTAGCTATTTAATAATGATGAACTTTGGAGTCTTTTTGTCCCACTGAGTTAGTATTAAACATTTTCCAAGAGGTAGGATTCTTCATATAGACTTATTCAGAATGTATTCAGACTTTCAGTGTGAATTTCTAGAACTTTCCCCAACTTTGGCTCCTCAGTATAAATTCTTTTTATTCCCTATCAAAGATTGTATTCAATATTTACTATCATTGTGTACTTGTGTAAAGTACAGGTTTGTGAGTATATTTCTATTGGCTAGATTATATATCCCTCTTCGTCTGAGAAATTAAATCCAATATTCCTGATTTTTTCCCCTTCCATTTCTTTCCAAATCTCACTTGAATTTAAAGCATGGCTGTCAACTTCAGAGAATTTCTGTTGCTTTCTTTTTAGCTATATTTTATAATTTTTTTAAGTATCCATCCTAATTTTGGCTTTTATGTTTCTTTGCAAAATAGTTTAGATACCGTCCCACTATAGCACTGAAATGTCGTGATTTCTGTTGGATCTTATAAAATATTAACAAAATGTAACATTAACAAAATGTAACATTCTTATTAAATTTGATTACTTTTGAGAAGTATCCTGTAGAAATGCTGACATATCCATTTGTAACTTTCATTTTATAGGGATTGGGAACACTTCTAGAGACTCTGTGACTCTGTGAGTTTAATGATGTGTATGTGTATTGATAACCTCAGGATAAAATGATAACCGATGTAATTACTGCATCCAGTTTTGGTCACCACATTATAAAAAAGATGTTGAGACTCTAGAAAAAGTACAGAGAGGAGCAACCAGGATGATTAGGGGACTGGAGACTAAAACATACAACAAACGGTTGCAGGAACTGGGCTTGGCTAGTCTAGTAAAGAGGGAGACATGATAGCGGTCTTCCAATATTTGAGGGGCTGCCACAGGGAGGAAGGGGTCAAGCTCTTTTCTAAAGGGCCTGTAGGCCAGACAAGGAATAATGGATGGAAACTGAACAAGGAGAGATTTAACCTGGGAATAAGGAGAAACTTTCTGACAGTGAGAACAATCAACCAATGGAACAGCTTGCCCTCAGAAGTTGTGGGAGCGCCATCACTTGAGACTTTCAAGAAGAGATTGGACTGCCATCTGTCAGAAATGGTGTAGGGTCTTCCGCTTGGGTGGGAGGTTGGACTAGATGACCTACAAGGTCCCTTCCAACTCTGATTATCTGTATCTGTAATTACTTCATCACTTTAAATGGCAGACTAGGCAAACAGTGGTTCTGTTGCTTAACAACCAGATTTTGGTTACTAGTTTTAAGTAGACATCTCTTTTTTCTCTCTCTCTCTTTTAGTCATTCATTCATGTATTCACAACTATGTATACGCTTATACTTATTATCTTGTAAACAATTGGCAAATCAAATAAATAAATAAATAAATAAATAAATTCACTCTATGGATAGTATCAAAATGTATAACTTGGTCATAAGTGCAACCCTACCCCAAAAGTAGTGGTTTTAAAACTTTTACCTAAAGGGGAACTCAAACATTCACTTTAATGATCATTTTTGATTGATTTAATCATTGATTTGAGAAAAATAGGTACACTCTGCTTTTTTTGGATTACAAATTACAAGTATGAGAATCACTAAGTGAGTCATGGATATTTAATATGTTAACATTTGTTTTTAAAAATTATTCTGACATGTTAAGTTCAAAGGGCATATTTCTCCACACCATAGATTGGACAATTTAAACATTTATATTAATATGTTTAACATAGCAAATAGAAACGATTTTCTCACTAACCCTTCTAGTATTAATCATACACATTTTTAAAAAGTAGGGGGTAGAGAATAATGCCTTGAATTGCACATTCATGGCTACCTTTGACTTTTTGATCTTCCACCAACAGGCTCTCCTTTCACACTTACTTGTTTCACCTCATTTTTTCAGACATTTTGTAATATCCCTCTGTTGCCTAGTGAATGAAAGTACAGTGAAATCTTGATTTACCTTTCTTTACATTTAAAGCACCAAATGTGCATGGCAATTTAGATCAATTATGTAATAACATCATTTGCATTGATTTGGACAATTTGCCTGACATCATTGCACAATTGATGAAAACTGTTGCAAGTGACAGATTTGTATCATTTCTGCAATTATGTCATCATGGAAATGATATTTATTCAGTTTATATACACTTTCATATTTAATAGACATATGTTTGTTAAGTAAATAAACAGTTCTAAGATTTATGCACTTCTCTATTAATTCATTAAAATGAAGTTTAGCTATATGCATTTTTTTCGCTTTATAGAACTATAAAGACATTTTTGTAGTAGGTCAGGGAATCATTGGTATATGATTCATAGATATCCTTGCCAATACCTAGTTACTCTTCTCCTGTTAATGAACTTTACCTATGAATCATCCTATAAATTCTCAGGAGACATAGTAGAAGTCTCCAGATGTTGATAAATTTTCATTTCTAGCATCCTTTGCCATTGGCCAAGTTGCT